GGGAGGCGTTGAAACCACCTTGTATTGTTAAGCAAGCGGGGGACACCTAGGGGGACCCTAGAATCGCAGGATAGAGCCAAGCCTTTAGACTCCTGCCCCTGGCCTCATCAAGGACACAAGGAAGGATAAGGGGTTAGTCTGCCTATATAAGAAGGCTTAAACCAGCTGTTTCTGTTTTGTGGCTCCCTCCTTCCCCCAGTTGGCTTTCTTGGAGCCTTCCCACTTTTCTGAGAGCCCCACCCTAATTACCTGTGGACTTGCACCTTGCCCAGGGAAGGCAGGCCAGCCTTTATTGCCCTCGCTTGATACTGCTTGCCTAGTTCAAATATCTGGTTCATTGTCCACATCTACTTCCTGCTTGGCTCCCCTGTTAGCAGACTGTAACACCCGTGGCCTCTTCCCTACCCACCCCTCCCAATCCCGGGATTCATTGGACAGCATCTGTAACTCTCATCACATGAAATCTCCGTGTTCTGGCTTGCTGTGTGACCTTAAGCAGGTCACTGCATCTCTAGACCTCCACACTTAGAGAGCAGCAGGGTTGGTCCATGTGTGTATATCTGTATGTGCTTCTTCTCTTGTCTTTTTTTGAGAAAGTGTAGCCTTGGCTAGCCTGTAATTCAGGATGTAGACCAGGCTTTGCCTCCCAAGTACCACCAGGCCCAGCTCACAAGTCCTCTGTAGAAGACAGCCCAGACTTACTTTTTGAGAGAGTATCACTATGTATCCCTGGTTGGTCTGAGGCTAACTTTGTAGACCAGGTGGCCTTAAACTTCTAGGTAATAACCCTCTTGCTCCGCCTCTCAAGTGCTGAGATTACAAGAGTGAGGTATGGCACCCAGCTCCTGACTACTCTTCCATAGAAACAAGCCAGGTGGCATTTATTTATATTTATGCTTTGGGTTTTGGGTTTTCTGTTTGTTTGTTTTTTTGTTTTTTGTGTTTTTCAAGACAAGGTTTCTCTGTGTAGCTCTGGCTGTTCTAGAACTTACTCTGTAGCCCAGGCTGGCCTTGAACTCACAGAGATCCACCTGCCTCTGCCTCCTGAGTACTGGAATTAAAGGTGTGCACCGCCACCACTCACCTATTTATGTTTAATCTTTTGTTGTTCTCCACCCTCTGGTGTATGATCGAGCACTCTGTTGGAGCGTGCTGTTGGGAGTGTCTCCTCACTTTTCAGGCACAAATCATTCCCATAAGGCAGGCATTTATTTTTAAGCAGTTACTGTGTGCCAGATGGTATTCATGCATTATCTCATTTAACCCACTCAACAGCCACATGGCTCTGCCCATGGAGTGACAACAACATCTCTCGTTTGCTGAGTATTCTCCATGGGGCATCTTATCCTCACAGCCACCTCTAACGAACAGTTACTCTCCCTGCTTGTCAGGTCAGGAAGCTGAGGTTAAGAACATGGAGCTGTTGAGGTAGAACAGGGACTTCAGACATGAGAGGGTTAACTAAGAACAGCTAGTCTTCTGACGCTTTTCCTCTACAAGTCATCAGTACCCTCATTTGCCCAGTCGGGAAACCGAGGGTCCAGAATAGATGTGCCCTGCATGCCATCATCTCCAGGCTTGCTGGAAGGAATATGTGACCCACTGACCAGAACTTGTTTTCCTTAACAAAGTGTCTCCTATTCCCCCAACTGGGGGGTCTCTGGAGTCATCCTCAGTTACATTGTTCAGGACCTCATGGAGACAGACCTGTACAAGCTGCTTAAGAGCCAGCAGCTGAGCAATGACCATATCTGCTACTTCCTCTACCAGATCCTTCGGGGCCTCAAGTACATACACTCAGCCAATGTGCTCCACCGGGACCTGAAGCCCTCCAACCTGCTTATCAATACCACCTGCGACCTTAAGGTCAGAGACTGAATGTCTGCCTCTCCCACCCTGGGCCTGGGGCATGACCGGTAGATGTATCCTCGGTGCATAGCAAACAAGAACAGCTTAGGCAGGGCAGAGGCACTTCCTGGACTGTGGAGGCCTTAGGCACTTAACTCAGTGGCCTGGGTTTGATTCCAGATCTGTGATTTTGGCCTGGCCCGGATTGCTGACCCTGAGCATGACCACACTGGCTTTCTGACGGAGTATGTGGCCACACGCTGGTACCGAGCCCCAGAGATCATGCTTAACTCTAAGGTAGGAGAGCTGCCCACTTTTGCAAGGAAGTCCTAGAGCTATCTCTGGGCCTTGGCATAACCCTTCTGGCCCTTGGGCTCTGGCAAGATGTAGAGATTAGAGCTTTCCTAGCCTCTGTTCTCTGCCCTTTGCTTGGTGTTGGATCTAAGTTGGATGTAGTGCTTAGCCCAAATATCAGGAAGGGCACTGATAAGGCTGACCAGAGAGTTTAGCACATTCTCCTCCCCAGGGCTACACCAAATCCATCGACATCTGGTCTGTGGGCTGCATTCTGGCTGAGATGCTCTCCAACCGGCCCATCTTCCCCGGCAAGCACTATCTGGACCAGCTCAACCACATTCTAGGTGAGAGGGCCTGGCAGGCTCAAAGGGATAGGAGTTAGCTTATCAGAGATGACATTTCTGGAGGGTGAGAATTGGGGTACCACATGTGGAGCCTCCCCAGCATCTCATGATATTTCTGTAAGGTGTTCTTTTCCCATTTGAAAGATGGAAAAAGCAAGACTACAGCTAAGGAAGACCGCAGTCAGGATTTGAGCTCAGGACTCCCTGGCCCTTAAGTTCTTTGCTTTTTGCCACTGCCCCAGTTGGTAGATGAGGAGGTAGCTGCAGGTGGCTGGGCTTGGGTTCCTGTTCTTGCTTCTTGACCTGTTCCCAGAAAGAGGACTTGATGCCTCAGCAAGACGACTGGTTTGTCCACAGGTATCTTGGGCTCCCCATCCCAGGAGGACCTTAATTGCATCATCAACATGAAGGCTCGAAACTACCTACAGTCTCTGCCCTCTAAAACTAAGGTGGCATGGGCCAAGCTTTTTCCCAAATCTGACTCCAAAGGTGAGAGATACAAAGGACTGCACCAGGGGGTAGGCTAAAACCAAGCAGCAAACAAGGCCCGGCCTCAGTAAATAGGCCCTGGAAAAGTGATGCCTATAGGGAGCTCCTTCAGCCTTCTTGACTGCTGCCCTTGCCTTCCCTTAGCTCTTGACCTGCTGGACCGGATGTTAACCTTCAACCCCAACAAGCGCATCACAGTAGAGGACGCACTGGCTCACCCGTACCTGGAACAGTACTATGACCCAACAGATGAGGTGGGCTGGCCACCAGTGGCTGGGAGGAGAATCAGTGCCCCCAGTGCCTGGCCTGTGCCTTACTGTCTTTGCCTCCTAGCCAGTGGCTGAGGAGCCCTTCACTTTTGACATGGAGCTGGATGATCTCCCCAAGGAGAGGCTGAAGGAACTGATCTTCCAAGAGACAGCCCGCTTCCAGCCAGGGGCACCAGAGGCCCCCTAACAACAACAGACATCCCTGTTCCCTAAGACCTGGTGAGTGGCTCACAATGCCCTCGCACAGCCACACCCCGATCAGAGGCTGCCCAGCCTGGCTGCCTCATTATCCACACATATGGTAGTCACAGAAGGGCCAGGACCTGCCAGTCACTTGCTGCCCATCCGGTCCTTTGTAACCTGCTTATCCTCTAGCCCTATCCATCTCCTACTGTCACCAGCATCCACTGGAGACCCACAAAGGTGAAGGATCCTCCCCCATAAGGAGCCACTCGAGGCCTTAAGGGTGGATTATACCACTATGACTTTGAGAGGAGCAATCACAGTAGCACTTGGTGGTGGCTGCTGTTATTGACTGCAGAGAAGGAAGCCAAGACCCACAGGTGGACCAAAGGCACTGTCAGGCTCTGTGTGTCTTCCGAGCTGACAGTTCTTTTCTCTTTTCTTCCTTCAGGTCCTGCTCCTACCTGCTCCTTCTCTGCAGATTATTAGAAAATGAACTTTGCTCAACCCAGACCCTGGCAGCCCAGGCTGGACCAAGGGTGGGCCTGGCCACCTTCTTTCACTTTGCTGGGGTCTCCTGCTTCAGGCAGGCTCCTTTCACCCCAATTCCCTTCCCCATCTCCCCGGGGCCTAAGTGGTGAGGTGGCCCCAGAGCTGATCTCTGCTGCTCTGCCTTTATCTACCCCTGCTAGCCCTGGCTCTGGCAGACCATTCTGGAATGGAAGGGCTATATGACTGCCCTAGGACCTATGCTACAGAGGGGTGGAAGGCACTGAGTAGGGCTAAGTAGGGCTAAGCTCTGCCCTACTCATCTTGTTGGAACCCCACCCTATTTTCCCTGAAGGAACATTCCTAAGTCTCAAGGGCTAGTTTCCCTGAGGAGCCAGGCCCAGGCCAAACCCTCTCCCTCTCAAAGCTGCCACCTGTAACGCCCTTGCTGCTTCTGTGTGTGGGTTATTGGGAGTGGAGGTGGCCCGTGGAGAGCCGGTGCCCCTCCCCACCTTCCCCGTGCCTGTATCTAATATATAAATATAGAGATGTGTATATGGATGACCCTGTCTCTGTCTCTGTGTGCCGTCGAGACCCCCAGCATGCTACTCTGATGACTGCCCCCTGCCCCCAGCTCTGCCCTTCCATGGCCCTGTCTGTGGTCTTTGGCTGTAGCTGGCCAGAGATGAGAATGGGTTATAAGGAGCTCCAGGCTCCTGGAAAGGGGTCAGTTTTCCTTTAGTCACTGTCTTCCATAACAGCTTCCTGTTTAACTGGCTGGGGTGATACGTTGTGACTCAGGGGCACCCCCAAATTCCTGGGAAGCAGCAAAGAGTTACAGATCCTGGCCATAAGCACCCATGGGAGACAGGAAGATCTAAAAACTGGTGAGGGGAGTTGCATAACGCGCCCCCCACACACACACACACACGTTCAAGAACAGAATGGGGTGTTGGGATCTTTGAAAGATCTGGGGACATGAAGCCCTGGGCTGCCTGCCTGGATTCCTGTGCCTGCCCCAGCCCTGGGGCATACTGCAATCTGGCCAAGTGCCAGTAACATAGCAGCAGGCTCAGCAGGTCTTGGGGTGTGGTACTGCCCAGTAGTGGAGCCAGCCTACACTGGCTCAGCAGGCAGGCTTGGCAGCAGGCAGCAGCAGGCAGCAGAGTCCTTTGGGACTAGGGAGGCTGTACTTGTGGCGGACGTCTGCTGTGGGAGTAAGGCTATGATTCCCATCCTGTACTTGGTTCTGCCCACCCTGGGCATCTATGTCATGCTCTCCATCCTCTTCTTGCGCCGACCTCATCTGCTGCACACAACCTGGGCTCCTACCTTCCCTGTCCGCCTGGCTGCCCACCGTGGAGGTGAGCTGAGTCAGGGAGACGGGAGGGGTTGGCAGCCACTTGGAGTGGAGTGAGCCTAAGAAGACAGGTACCATAGTGGGCACACATAGTGGAGGTACAAGGTGTGAATGAATGCTAAATACAGAGGTAAGGAGAGTCACGGGGTCCCGGAGGATGTGGAACAGGGAAGGAGAGGCCAGTACAACTTGGCTGATGGGAAGAGAGGAAGCCTGAAGCAAGTGGGAAACCATCAGGAAGAAAGGTAGGCAGGAAGATCAGACCAGGCCCTAGGGATCCACCCAAACTGCCTCACACAGGGTCTGGAGAGCGACTGGAGAATACCATGGAGGCTATAAAGAAGTAAGTCCAACGTGTAAGGTTGTGGGTTAGCTCCACAGGGCAGCCAAGGGTGCTATTTATTCACTTCCTAATTTGGCATCGTGCCTGAGGTGCCACATGTCCCACCACAGATTCTGTCCCAGTGTCTCCCCTCCACACCATGCCCTGGTCCTTCCCTGTCTTCTTCCCCCACCCACTGTTGCTCCCATAGTTCCATGGCCCAGCGAGCAGATATCTTAGAGCTTGACTGCCAGCTCACACGGGATGGCGTGGTGGTAGTGTCACACGACAAGAACCTGTCCCGCCAGTCAGGCCTAAATAAGGATGTGGACAGCCTGGACTTCAAGGTGAGCTTTACAGCCCCTCATACTGAATGTTGACATACTTGCACACATGTATCCTGATGGCATTTCTCCACTCTCCACAGGAACTGCCCCTCTACAAGACAGAACTGGAGATTTATTTCTCCCCAGGTATGAGATGTACAGCCAGCCTTGCCCTGCTTAGCCACCTTCTCATATACTCTCCCCAAACTCCCCCTAGAAATGAGCTATCCTACTCTGACCCTAGTTTTTGTGACCTGACTCCCAGGCCAATTTGCCCACGGGTCAGATCGGCACATGATACGACTGGAGGATGTATTCCAGGAATTTCCAAGGTTGCCCGCGATTGTGGAGATCAAAGAAAAAAATGAAGAGCTCATCCACAAGGTGGTACTGAAGCCAGGCAGGTGAAGGCAGGCTCAAGAGAGGCCTAGCTTCCCTTACTCCGATTGTTCCCATGCTAGGTAGCCAACCTGGCTAGAAGCTTTGACCGCAGTGAGATTACTATCTGGGCTTCAGAGAAGAACTCGATCATGAAGATGTGCAAGGCTGCCGTGAGTCCCTCTTCCTCTGCTATGAGGCTAGAAACTGCCCCAGCCCAAGGAGCCTATGCTGGAGGGGCCCGCTAGGGCCCAGGAACTAGCTTTGAACACAGTTCCTGAGAATAGGATTTGCAGAAGTAGTGTTACTACATGCACTGGCCTGGTGTTGCCATGAGACCAGCTATAGGGAACCCCCAGTACTGGCTGTGTTGGTCAGTTGTTACTGTAAGAGAACTTCCGGAAACAACTCATGGCTCACAGTTTCATAGATTTTAACCCATAGTCACTTTGGCCCAATTGCTAGAGGTAGAGAGAGAGGGCATGAGAAACACAGCTGCTCACTAATGACGGCTGACGATCAAAGACGATGCCTGGGCTGGCTTCTTCCTTTTTCCCCTTTTGTTTTATTCAGACTCCTAGCCTACAGAGATGGTGCTGCCTGCATTCAGGGTGGGTTTCCTCCCTCCCTTAGCTAATTCTGTGGAAACATCCTCAGGTAGGCATGCCCCCACGTGTTTCAACAAACTCCAAGGTACTACTTCTTGATCAAGTTGACAGAATTAACCAAGACACTGTCCAGGGTGTGACTTTCATGTCCAGCCCTGATCCCTTCAGCCCAGGGCTCTGCTGTCCCAGGCACAATGGGTCTGCCTCTCACCTCTCCCCTGCCACCCAGAACCCCGAGATGCCGATGGCCTTCACGATATTGAGATCAATATGGATACTGCTGCTCTACTACCTGGGGCTGCTGCCTTTTGTCTCCATACCTGAGAAGTTTTTCTTATGCTTCCTGCCCACCATCATCAACAGGTACCAGTGATAAGATGAGGCTTGAAAACACCCTGCTCAGGCTACATTGCCCAGGGTGAAGGAGACCCAGGATCCCCAGTTCCATCAGAGGCCCCAAGATTCTTTAAATATTTTATTTTTACTGTGTGTGTGTGTGTGTGTGTATACATTTACCAACCTCGTGTGTGCAGTCACCTGTAGAAGCTAGAAAAGGGTTTCAGATCCCTGGAACTGGAGTTACAGGTGGTTGAGAACCCAACACGAGTGCTTAGAACCAGATTCAGGTCCTCTGGACAAATAACAAGCACTCTTAACCACTGAGCCATCTCTTCAACCCCAAGGCCCTTTACAAAGGGCAGTGACACCCCGCCCCCCAGGACAGGGTTTCTCTGTGGCTTTGGAGCCTCATGGAACTTGCTCTGTAGACCTGCTGACCTCAAACTCACAGAGATCCACCTGTCTCTGCCTCCCGAGTCTAACTAAAGGAGAATGAACCCTTGGCTCTCTCAGCCATCAGCCCATCGTGGCAATACCTGAATGTGGTATTTGGCTGTAAGGACTGTGTATCTTCAGACACATGACAAAATGAGAAAACTCAGAAACCTGGAAACCAGCATTTTCTTTGCTAGAAAGAGGGAAATGAGGCAGGAGAGAGAAGATAAACTCACCATGCTGGGTCAGAGTTCAAGTGTCAATGACTTCAGGGTTCTGAGCTGAAGGAGAAAAGTATGTGTGAGTGTGCCTGTGTGCGTGCGTGCGTGCATGCGTGCGTGCGTGCGTGCGTGCGTGTGTGTGTGTGTGTAGGCCAGAGACATCACTCTTTCTGCCTTTATGTAGATTCCAGGGATTAGACTCAGGTTGCTAGGCTTTCATGACAAGGGCCTTTAGCCACTAAGCCAGTGTTTCTCAATCTGTGGGTTGAGACCCCTTTTGGGGATCAAAGGACCCTTTCACAGGGGTGGCCTAAGACCATCAGAAAACCCAGATATTTACATTTCAATTCATAACAGTAGTAAAATTACAGTTAGGAAGTAGCAATGAGATAATTTTATGGTTGGGGTCACCACCCCATGAGGGACTGTGTTAAAGGGTCACAGCATTAGGAAGGTTGAGAACCACTGCTCTAACCCATCAAGAAGGCCTGATCTTTTTCTTTCTTTTTTTTTTAAACAACAGTCTCACTATGTAGTCCAGGTTGGCTTCAAATTCTCAGCCCTCCTGCTTCATGTCCCCTAGGGCTTGGATCATGGGACTGCACCCCTGCAGTTCTTGCCTGGCATTCGTGAGCACTAAGGGGTCTGTGACCCCCCCTGACTTGAAAGCAAATACGTAATCAGTATTCAGTTTTAGAAGAAATTCATTCAGTGCTTTGGTGGAAAACTGCTCTGGTTAGAGTAGCGGTAGTAGTACATAACAATTCGGGTAGGTTAGTCTAGCAAGTGATGAGCCGGGTCAGGCTCTCTGGGCTTACAGCCTGGCTTTCTCATTCTCAATGCACTGTGAGATAGCACTGTTAACAAAGTAACACAGGAGGAGGTATTAGGAACTACATACTTGCTTAGCTGCCTTTCCGAGAACTTCTCCAGGGCTGTCTCCAAAGCTCTGTTCCATTGTGTGGCTCTCAGGAAAGCTTGCTAGCCCCACAGCCCCTTTCCAAAGCCTTGTGTTTGTAGTGTTTTACACAGTGGGGTATTTGACCTTTACCTTACAGTGCCCCCTCCCGGAGGGTAGAGTCATGACCTCCTCATTAGTATCAGATATGCTGAGCATTTCCGTGACTGGCCCAAGGTTACACAGCTGGAAATACAGAACCCAGGAAAACTCCAGTGCCTGACCTAGGCTCTAAAGTCATCCAAGGGTGAGATGAATTGTGACATATGGCCAGCCTATTAAGCAATGTCTCATTTGAAGAAGCTGTCCAAATTTGGACTCCATGTCACACACCTGTAATCCTAGCACGTGTGAGGCCAAGGTCAGAGGGTTGCAAGTTCCAGAGCAGCCTCA